GTGATTGTTACGTTCACCAAACATTCTTTGGTGTTGAAGGGATGACTGTCATTTAAAAGACATGCACCTGTAAGATTCACCAGCAGTGAATGTTTGATGGAGGTCAGATTTCCTGCTTTATGATTACGTCTCCGTGTGTTATCTTTGTTGCAATTTCGGTTCTTTTCGTTCTCCTCTTTCATTTATTCTAAATACATTGATATCTCATCGCAGTGAACAACGCTGGTATTGGGCACATCGGCCCCCTTGAAAGCCAGTCCATGGATGACATGAGGAAGATCTTTGAGACAAACTTTTTTGGGGTCGTCTACCTGGTCAGAGAACTCCTTCCATCCATGAAGAAGCGTGGGAGCGGCCATATTGTGGTGATCAGCAGCGTCCTGGGGCTACAAGGTGGGACATTTCTATGTTCAGGTATCGAGAAACAACCGGAAATCCAAGCAGGAGTCCCTTCATGAGGCAACCCGGTTTTAAAGGAGCTCAAAACACTTGGATGGAAGCAGCCAACATGTGACATATACTGGGGTGGTAGATTGGTTCAGCTTGTCCCAAAACTACCATGTGGTATGAATGGGGGGAATGGCTTCATCCATCCAAGTGTCAGGATCCAGAGCACCTCCAGGGGGCGCTGGAGCCAGGTCCTGCAGTTCCTGTGCTCGCCTGCAGATGTCTCCAGGCAGCCAGGAAATGTCAGGTACCAGACCACCACTGGGTGGTGCTGGAACCTGTAAGTCCAGTGCTCACCTGCGGGTGTCTCCCAGCTGTCAGTGATTATACACCACCTGGTGCGACCTGGGAGGGTATTTAATCCCTCCCTGCAATCAGGACTGTGGCTCAGTATCCTGTCGCCTTTCCCTGACGGAGTCCTGTGCCCTGAGCTTGTTGCCATTTCCTGTGTATCCTGAGTCCTGTTACCTGCTTGCACTCCTGAGTCCTGTTACCTGCCTGTACCCCGACCCTTTGTCCCTTAGGCCGACCCTGGTCTTGCCCTGCTCCCCAGGTTTGCCTGGCTTGTATACCCTGGGTGTGTATTCAGCTATTTGCTTCTGGTTTGGATACTTTGTTATCTTTTGTATGTGTTTGTGGTTATATTTAGTTGGTTACTTTACTTGCTTGTGGGTATTGGTATTGGTTGGGGTTGTTGTGTTTTGTTTTGCTGTTTACAATCAATTGTATACAACTCATTGACCTTGTCTAGTGTGGTCATACTAATTTGGTCCTCCTGCGTGGGTACCTGCATGCGGTGTGGGGACACCCGCGCACGGTACCCTGACACCAAGCCATTTAAAGGACTCTATGGTCCCAGAGCCGCCATATTTGATTGCCACATATTGCTGCGCATTTTATTAGTCCAAAATACCTTCAGAATATTTTTTCAGCACACATGCCCATTTTTTTGCTTTCTTTGTCACATCCTGTCCTGGAGATGTAACAGGAAGTCAAAAGAAATATCTCTAATATCTATAAAGTGAAAGGAGTTCCCTGCTTAGGCAGTCATCACCAGAACCAGAACAGGTCCCCAATGGAGCATCTCCGCTCACCTCTTGTTTTGGTGCACCGGGACAAATAGAGAGGGGGGTATGTGGGAGGCTCGGCTCCTGGGACCCTGAGGGTTTTGGGCCCTTCTATTTTCTCCATGCACACAGATCATTGAGCGGCAACCGTCTCCTTCTCTTACAGGTATCGTGTTCAATGACGTCTACGTCGCCTCAAAGTTTGCAATCGAAGGTTTCTGCGAAAGTCTGGCTGTTCAGCTCTTGAAGTTCAATGTCTTGTAAGTAAAAACGTCTGAAGTATGGGGGGCATCTGAAAAGGAGGGGGTTGCCATGTTTTCCTAGAAATCCCCTTTTAAGTGGTCATGTGAGCTCGTCTGATACATGTTGTGTGTGCGCAGCATTTCTTTGATAGAGCCTGGCCCCGTCAAAACCGAGTTTGAGGTGAAGCTGATGGAGGAAGTGGCCCGGTCTGACTTTCCTGGAGCTGATGCTGCAACCGTAAGATACTTTAAGGAGGTCTACCTACCTGCAGCTCGTGAGATCTTCACCACCCTGGGGCAGACCCCAGATGCAGTAGCAAAGGTTAGTAATTGGCCACGGCTTTATAGGATATGACGAACTGACCACCGGACTGCACAACAGGCATCTCCAGTTTATATCCAGAGCTTCAACCCATAGGGCTATGGTCCACATAGCTTTAGTAGCTGGCCACCTCCTCCTACCACCCGGCACCTCCCTATTCCAGGCCACCCAGCAGCTATGATCTACGAGCACCTTCACTGGCCGAGAGGAAGGTTAACAGGCGACCGCGGCGGAATATTTAGTAGCCGGGAAATGTCACCTGAATCCAATGATTTGGAGGGGGAGGGGCCCAACACTTTTGGCAATATAGAGATACAAACAAGGGTTTCCTAATGAGAGCAGATAGAACTGTATGCTTGTCAGAGCGTGGAGAAGAAAGCAGAGTTGGATCAGTGACTGAAGGGAGTATCTTGGGTTAGATGATATGTTTATGTGCATAGAAGAGGTTTAAGGCTGCGCCTGAAGGTTCCAAGAGTTGGAGAATATTGAACGGCACGTGGATAGAAATTCCAGAGAAGGGGAGAGGCCCCTGACTATTGTATATATATATATAGTAGCAGACATTCCTTGTGCTGACTTGAGAGTATATATCTGTTAGGATCCAGAGCGCCTCTAGGTGGCGCAGGAACTGAGACATGCAGCTCCAGTACTCACCTGCGGGTGTCTCCCAGCTGCCAGTACTTAGCCATCACCTGGTGCTTCCCGGGAGGATATTTAAACCCTCCCTGCAGTCAGGATGAGGGCTCAGTATCGTTTCCTGTTTCCTGCTTTCTGTCCAGAGTCCTGTTACCAGTCCTGTACCCTGTTTGTGTCCCGAGCCCGGTTACCCATTTGCAGTCCTAGACACCTCCTGTTGCCATTACCTGCTTGTAGTCTGGTTGATGTTACTTATTTAGGTTTGCTTTTGGGTGTTGTTTAGTTTTGCTGTTTATTAAACTGTATATAATACATTCTGCCCTGTCCGGTGTGGTCATAAGTGTTTGGTCTGCCTGTGTGGGTGCCTGCTCAGGTGTGGGGTCACCTGTGCCGGTATCCCTGACAATATCATCCTAGTCTGCTTGACTCCAATATTAACAAAGGTATTTTTGCTTTTTAACTTCATCATAACGAATGTTTGTAAAGTTACGAAAATGCGCCGAAATGAACGAAAATTCGTATTTCGTACGAATCCGAATTGAGTTTCGGACGCGAATTACGAAATAACGGATATTACGAAACTGAACGAATTTTTTGACGGCGCACAAGTCTAGTCTGCTCCATCTCAGTCTGGGTTTATGACATCTTCACAATGAGCTTCATAAGACGGAGCAGTGTGCCCAGTGATGGTCCTCTGACGGTCATATTTTGTGTTCCATCCCAGGCCACGGTGAAGGTCATAGGAATGGCACGGCCGGTGTTCCGCCATCAGACCAACCCTCTGTACACTCCGCTCACCGCCATGAAGTATGCCGACAACACGGGGAACCTGTCCGTCAGGACCTACTACAACATGCTCTTCAACTATGGCTCCGTCTTCCACTTCAGCCTCAACCTCCTGAAATGTATCACCTGCAACTGCTTCCGCAGGAGGGTCATGCCGGTCTGAGGCACGCGGAGCACCAACGGTGAAGCTAGCTTGGACTTAACGGGGCAGTCTATTACTTGTTGTCTTCTTACACATTTACACGGTTGTTTTTTGGGTGAGGAGGTTTCGGCGCCAAGAGCTACCGGCACCAAAACGCGTATATGTTTTTGTTGCCGATAGGTATTTGGCACTAATGCTTACACTGCGTGGAAAGTTGGCCTTGGTGGTCATCACACCCAAAAATCCTAAAACTAAGTCACTTACCTTCGCTGTGAGGAGTCCTTTCATGATGAACATGCCTTGAGCCAATCCTGCCATGGCAAACTAAGCCCCACGACCAGGGCCGGATTTACTCTCTATGCTGCCCCAAGGCCAGGTTCCTCAATGCGCCCCTTTAATTAAAGTGCATATATGGGGCTCTCATAGGGTTTGTAATTTTATCCATCCAGTTCTAACATTTACATGGCTCTGTCACACAGCACAGCTCTACCTGGCAGGGGAAAAGACCTGACTTTGTTCTGTGGTGGTTATGTAAGACTTAAAGGTCTTGCCCCTCCACCAGCCTGTGACTGGGCAGTGAAAAGAGAAGCAGCAGACTGATGAGATTAACCCCGACACACTGCTCTCTCCACATAACAGCATGTCCCTTGTTAGTGCATCACCCTGCCACCTGGGCTTCTAATGGGGAATGCAGCAGGCATGATCCACTGTGCAAAGAGAAGCAGCAGACTGATGAGATCAACCCCGGCACACTGCTCTCTCTCCATCTTTCAGCATGTCCCTTGTTAGTGCATCACCCTGCCACCAGGGCTTCTAATGGAGAATGCAGCAAGCATGATCCACTGTGGACACCATCAGGAAACCCATCGTAAGAAATGCCATGCAGCCATCGCTGGAGTGCATGTAATACTCTCCCTGCTGCCCCAAGGCCAGGTCCTCAATGCGCCCCCCTATCCGCCAAACCCCGCCCCCCCATGTAGAATGGCAGACCTGCAGGCTGCATACAAGTGATCTCGATGACATCGCCGGGATCACTTGTACAAAATGTGGCTTCCCCGCTGTACCTTTAGCCCTGCTTGCCCAAAGCCGGGCTAAATGTAGAGAACAACTACCCGCCCGGCGCCCCGGGAACCGCATGTCCCTGGCATCAGGAGATAGGAATTCCACACCCCTGCTGCCCCTCTAATCCCTGCTGCCCCGAGGCCGGGCCTTGGGTGTCCTTGTGGGAAATCCGGCCCTCCCAACCACACCTATTACCTTCACAGTGGAGACTCATTGTGCCAACCTCTAACCCCAACCATCAGTATGACTTCCATGACAACATTCACTTTAAAAAAATGAATCATTGTAATCTTTGTGCTGTGGGGTCAGATCGGAGATCGGCAAGAGTGGTTGCATCCATCACATGTCCATGAGACAATCTGAACGTGGTGTCTCCTCCAAGGCACCATGGTAGGGAGATGGTGGCTGTGTACTATTCCTGTACAGGCGGAGGCTTCTAACAACCACCAGTCTACGTGGGCACCATAGGAAGCTGTGAGGTTTCCTGTTTGGGGATCCAGATCAGGGTAATAAAACCAACCAAAGAGAACCAAAGCCATAGGATAAGGTCTTCTTATGACTGCCCCGGGTCTCCTATGCAGTAAGGCAGGGGTAGCAAACCTCCGGCCCTCCGGCTGTGGTGGAAACTACAAATCCCATGAGGCATTGCATGATTCTCACTGCCACAGACATGACTCCCGAAGACAGATGCCTCATGGGATTTGTAGTTCCACCACAGCTGGGTGGGGGCTGGAGGTTTGCTACGCCTGCACTAAGGGTTACCAAGAACTATTCTAATGCTTTAAGATTTCATGTTTTTGTCAGAAAAATTGACATTAGAACCAAATCTGATCCAAAGTAGAATTTGTTTTTAATGCCCATGATCTGCATTTTAAAACATCAGATTACTTCTCAGGTTCTTGTCCTTCTCTTCTCAGTCCTGGTCCGGGTCCTGGTCCACTTATGGCAGTGAGTTCCGAAGGCAAAGGGGTTCCTTCCTTCCTTTCCTTCCTTCCTAGCTCCTCACTTAGACGTCACTTCCGGCCAGTCTGACATCAGACGAGCAGCATCGCTGACGGGGCCCCACCTTGTCTCGAAGCCGCTGGAGCGGCAATGCTGGGGCCCTGAGCTGCTAGGGCCAGTCCTCCGCCTCCTCACCCTTCACAGTCGGCCGACAGTCATGTAAAGGGACCCGGGCGGGCCCCCCAGGCTGCCCGGGCCCCTTACATAAGTATCGGCCGTACCCCCCTGATGGCTGCCCTGCTCGCCGATACCAATTACCGAGTACCGGAAGTCCCATTCAGGAAGCCAGGTGGCGTGTAATGACTTGCCACCCGGCTTCCTGAATAGCCGGGAAGCCGGGCAGGGTGTAATGACGCACAGCTTCCGAGGCTTCCTGATACAGGAAGTACTCGGGCTAGGCATCGGAGCATTTGGGCGAATACTCGTACTCGGTATCGGCACCAATATCGATACTAGTACCGGTATCGGTGCATCCCTACTTATAATCCTTCATAAGCCGACCCCCCTCGATTTTATAGTTAGCAGTTCTGACATTGGGGTGCGGGGTTGGGCAATGATGATTTCATAGACATGTAAGTCTCGTTTCCTTCTAAATTGAAATTCTGACACATTTCTATTCGGATGCCTCCCAATTCTGTCCGTCATTCTGAACGAACTGATATGTTCAAACAGCTTGGGTCCCCAGCCCCCCTCCCTCCCCCCCTCCAAATTCATATCAGACCCTTTAGGTTTGGTAGGAATTTTAGGAGGACCCCATGCAAAAAAAAAAAAATAAGGTCCCCCCAAATCC